ACCATCATAATCTACTGTCTTTAGTTTGCACCACACCAGCATTCTCAACCAACCTAATACTTTTAGACACTGATATTGACAATAAGAAAAAAGGTTAGCAAGGCTTCACAGGCACTGTAATCTTATAAACCGCGATACTACGAGCGGCCAAACTCCTATTATCTATTCAGACAGTGGAAATGTTTCATGATCCGCAACCTTTGGTGGAAATTTGCACCTGTTTCATGTTTCCTATTTCATTCAGGTTTGCATCTCCAATTAACCAAGTTTACATCCACCACTTAATGCATGACATTTATGATAACTTGGTAACCAACAGCTCATCGTGCTCTATCTTCTCTCGGCCCAGGAGAAGTTTCTCAGGAATAGTTTGTGTCATGAAGGTGAAGCGGTCCCTCTTCAGGTGTTGGCCTGGTATCTGCTCCAACCCAATCCCCAAGTAATCCCCTTCTGGTCCATACTGTGGCCATGAAACCAGACCAGGCCCGTTAGGAGACCTACACACACACAAAAACACACACACAATGTAAATCATATTATATAGCTACTTGTGATCTTTTACATATTATATGGAAACTGATTGAGAACGATATCTTACCCTGTACGAGCAAAGTTACCCCAGTATCTCATCATGACTCTGGTTAGTTGCTCATCTTCCTCTGTACATGGGTCTGAGAGAGAAGGCATTCCAGAGTTAAAAGTTAGTGGTGAGTGCTTGGAAAAGTGGTGAATAAATCACTTACCATCAATTTTAAGATGTGATGTTGTCAAGCAGAATCCAAAAACAAACAAAAGCTCATCTGCATGGTCAGTCCCAACAAAACTTGGCCTCAGCTTCTTGAATACACTGGGTGATTGCTGGAACTCATACAGATACACGGGCACACCTGCATCTGTTGGGTGGGATAAGACACCAGCATTAAGATGGACTGGACACAAATGTATATAGGTCTAGCTGTTCATGTTCCGGTCCAAATTTGGCCTTGAAATAATGCTTCTACCTCTGTGGAAATTTGCCGTTTTAAGGGCAGGTATGACGAACATAATGTCTCCAACCAGCTTAGTGAAGCCATCACGGTTTTTCAACCGATTCCCAGAAGTACCCATGTATTCATCTGCTATCAGCTCAGTTATCCACTGATCCTTTGACTGAAGTACACACAGATGTTTAGTTTATTGTAAAATTAATTTAGACTTTATCATCTGGATGATAGTGTGCATTGGTCGTACCTCAGTGTACAGCATGGACAAAACTGGCATCACATTCACACGGTCCAAACCATCCTCCCATCCTGGAGGGGCAAAGAACTATTGGAAGAAAAAACTTCCATAAAATGTAATATTTCTTTCAATAGTATGTTGAAAAGGAAACTCAATGTTGATTTGAGTTGCATTTAGGGTGAGTGTTGGGTTAAACTGCTGTTTGAATGGTATTAGTAAATCGCTGTATATGCGCAATTTAATTTCATTTGTATTGTGTTTAGTGTTTTCACTGTTCATGTTTTGTTTTGATTTAAATTAACCTGATTTTAAATGGATATACACGCTCTGTGCCTGCCTCTGCACTTCACCTTGGTCCATGACAAATTCACTGTCTGGTTGAAAACAGACATCGAGTAGTCAAGATAGTGTGGCACCACTGGCTACATTTCATGTGGAAGTTTATTAAGTAGAATCTGTTACACACACTACAATATTCACTGAAGTGCATAATATTTTTTTTTACACAGTGAAGCGAATAATGTTGATCATCTCCTAAAAAAGGCACATGCCAAGGTTGGAGGGTCATGCTGAAGAGTTCAAGGTGTTGCACTGGCCACAGATTGTTCCAGATGTAATGCTGCAAGTGCTAGACTAAAAACTTTCAGGACTTAAAGGTGTCAGATACCGCAAGATGTTTCCAAAAATAAGGTCCGGCATTTTTAACACCAGCATATATTTTGAACCTTGAGCGATCCACAGAAACTATTTTGGCACCCTGTTTTCATCTGCCAAATTCCAATTGTTTTTCAAAATCCACTCACCTTTGCTAACAACCAACCGCCTTCGTCGTCAGTAGCACCAGTTATAAATGGGACCTTGTGCATCTCATGGTTACGGAGAATCTCCATTGGAGATTTGGGCAAGAATTGCCCATCAACACTCACGCCCAAACTTAGCATTGGAAACTAGAATAAGGAAAAATACAATGTTGTAAATTAGAAAATCTGTTGTGATGTTTGCTGGGTTGCTACTTGAATTGCAGCGAATCACAAAGGGAAAACTGTTTGAACCCTAGTGTGGACCGTGAAGACTGCCATTCCAATAAGACACTTGTTGTACAAAAACTTAACTACAAAGCACAAAAAGTAACTGCTCATAGTGTCAGTGAGAAAAATGTTTTTTGACCGTTATTTTTTGTTAGCCAACACAGGTGCATTATGTTCCAATTATAAATCTAACATATAGCCCACTGCTTTAAGTAACAAAATGTTAAGATTGGCAGCCCTTTCTGAGAACCCTGGTAAGAGAAACTAATTTTCAGAATAACTCACCTGTTTGTGAATGTTCACAATGTCATTAACGGTCAACTTCTTCACACAGTCAGCAATCTTCTCTGTGTTGGTTGTGTCACAGCCAAGCAGGTTTGCCACTGCCTATGTATCAAGACACATGTAATAACTTGGCATAGTGAAATGTAAACACGCCTTGCGGAGACCTCAATTTTAGCTGCCTTGAAATTATTATTTTTAAATCAATCGCCTTGGTTTTCATTTGACTATAGTTTTGCTCATTGCATATATTTTTTAGAATCTATAAAACTAGTCAGTCTTTGCTTGTGACCATAATGAAAATAACATGATGCTCCAACCACCATTTAAAAGACAAAGACATTAATAACATCCCATTCACTCAACATTACTGGTATGTAAAATGTTTATTGCTGGCTTGAGAAAGTTCAGTATTCTTTCTTTTTTTATCCATGTTTTGTTGTGTTGTACAATTGATAATAAAATAAAATTACCATAATTCTACACACATCGTCCACATAATTCAAAACACAATGCGAAAACCAACTTTTAGAAATGTATGCCATAACCGAGGTATTACATCCGAATGACATCACTACATTGATTCTGCACGGTTATGGCAGAATCATGCTATGGGGATGCTTCTCAAAAACAGGGACTGAGAGATTGGGAACTGTTGAGGAAACAGGGAAAATACGGAGGTCCCTGAAAAAGCCTGAATGAGAGTGCACAGAATCTCAGACTCCAACAACTTAGAGCACACAGTCAAGACAATCTTGGAGTGGCTCCAAGACAAGTCTGTTAAAGTCCTTGAGTGGCCCAGCCAAAGTCTGAACTTGGACCCTAACAAACATTTATATCCTGGGAAATCAAAGTTCACTGACACTCCCCATCCAATCTGAAAGAGCGTCAGTGGATCTACAAGAAGAGATTGGAGAAACGGGCCAAATCAAGGTGTGCAAAATCACTACAAATTATCCAATACAGCAAATAGGTCAATATTTGGCCTAAACTCAAGGTTTGGCTCCAAGGGACAACTTTTTGTATTTTTCAATGCTGTGTAATGGGTATACTCGTCATCTGAGGAGTTAATCATAATAAAACAAATATAAAAGAAGCAATGTCAAAGTAAAACATTAAGAAAAACCTGCCATAGTTCTTTAAAAACCCAAGCTGTGCTAGTTTTCTCAATGAGGCATCCAAAATAAGCTATGTTTGACAATTTGGTGAAGGAACAAACCCTGAAAAAATACCTGTGCTGCAGGCAAAGGATTGGTTTGGAATATACCGTCCATGGCTGCGGTACCACTCTCAGCTATCGCCCGATGGAACAGACCAGCAGACAATGGAGACAGCAGCTAATGATAGAAAAAATACAACAAAAAAAACAAATGATTTACACATTCTGCTGAATTCATAAATTATATCATAACTGTTCAATGGACAACATGTTTTAAAGCTACATTTTTGTTCACATACAAAATATATTTATTATATCTCTTGCGTGTGTGAGTGTTTGTTCTCACCAGTAATGATACACTCATTCCGCCGGCAGACTCTCCAAATATGGTCACCGACTTAGAATCACCTCCAAAGTTGTGGATGTGGTCCTGGGTCCACCTTAAGGCTTCCACTTGGTCAAGTAGTCCCATGTTCCCGGGGGCGTGCTTATCTCCTGTGCTGTATGGAAGACATCAGAAACCAGTCAATCAAGCTCAAATCAATGATCTCCCAAACTCCATGTAGCACAAAGCGTTACGACTTCAGCTCTCAAGGTGTGTTTGGCGCGTTCGGCTTAGAATGTTGTTCTGCTGGGGCATTTGTCTTTTTGCGATTCCTATTGCTGGCTGCGCCGAGCTCATTCCATGGCGGGTTATTCTTCTGTGGTATTTGTAATCTATCATCCTCTGCTGTGTCCAGTTTATCTGTTCTGTCCACTTCTGTGGCTTATGGCAGGGCTGGAGTTGTGACTGGGCTCAGCCTGTATTTCTAATGGCTTTTTCAGTGGTTGTTCCTGACTTACCTAAAGAACCCCATCAAACCCAAACGGTATTGGATCAGCACCACAACTACATCCTGGTAGGCAGCCAAGGCAGAACCATCAGCTATTGATGCAGAGCCCATGGTGAATCCTCCACCATGGATCCAAACCATGACCTGAGAGACACAAGAAATATGTGCTGTCATACCTGCAGCATTTACAAACATCTTATCTGTTGTTATTGGAAATTGTATTTTAAATATATTTTATGCTTCCAGGAATGATGAGTAAAAATGCTGAGTAAAAACCTTTAATCTAATAGTTTGCTGGTTATTTATAAAGCTTATGAAAATGGCAGTTTGGTAATATATCGTATTAGTTATAGATGAGCAGTACTTTAATATTTGACATTTATCATTTTGTTTATTGGGATATTTACAGCAACATCTTCCATCCCTGGAGTTTTCTGGCATTTGTCACCACAGTGCATACGTTATGGTAAAGAGCGCTTGTGTGTAGCCCAGTGGTAAGAGTGCATGCTCTGTGTGTATGATATTCTGGGTTCAATCCCCAGTTTCTCCCCCAAAATATGAACTGGTCTATACACAACAGTATTGTTACAAAAACTGCTTTACTAAAGGAATGTTATTTGTCATATGTTATTTTTTACTGTAGTGTATATACACATGGCAAATGTGCAATAAACAGAGAACTTCTCATGATTAACATTTAAAAACATGTCTACTCACAGGAAGCTTGGTATTCTCAACAGGTTTAACCGGGGTGTAGATGTTGAGGTAGAGGCAATCTTCTGACACCTCTGGGAATTCCACTTTGAAAGATATATTGGAGAAAAGGTCTTTCATAATTTGCCTGTCTTGAAGACACCTGAAAAATATTTAACTCATTGAGAAGTCAATATGTCATTAGAAAATAACTAATAACTAATAACTAATAATAACAAAGAAAACAGGACAACAGTAATAGTAGTTGCTTTCTGGTTACTTATATGTTAAAGAACTGTTTTGTTTTGTCACGAGTTGGAACATTTGCTCTCACTCTGGGTCTTTTAGTTAGGTGCACACTTTAATTCTGGTGGTTTGTTTTCAGTGAGCACAGCTGGTTTCATTTTAGGTGCTATTTACAAAGAATACAAAAAAGTCTACACACCCCTAAAATGCCAGGTTTTTGTGAAAGATAAATCATGTCAGAACTTTTTCCAACTTTAATGTGACCTATAACGTGAACAATTCAATTAAAAAACAAACTTAAATCTTTGAGCAGGAAAAATAAAAAACAGCAGGTCCCTGCCAGCAAGGCTAATCCGGTCTATGTTGACGAGGTCAGGACTAAGTGGGAACCTTTTGTTGTTACTCCGGGTATTTTAGTGGGTTGCACGCTTTATTTCAAGCTTTCGTTTTATTATACTGAAAACAAACACGGAACACAAACAGAATACTTAAATTGAATTGAAAGAAAGGGGCGCTTACTCAAAGCGACTAATAACGGTAGAAAAATAGTGATCTTCTTAAACTAACAAAACAACAGCACTCACCTATGTGGACTCGTCACGTAAAACAATAAATGACCAAGTGGTGACATTTCCCAGTGACTTAAACACCCAGCTGATCACCCTGCTAACCACTAATTATGCCCAGCTATGCTCATTAACTACCACCCTAATCACCAAACAGGAACTAAAACATGTGCCACCTACCATACTGTCCCGTGTGAAACAAAACCCCTCAAAATTCATGACATCGTCCTTGTGTTTGATTGTTATATATGACGGGTTGACTCCAGACGTACTAATTCTATGTATTTGATCGTGTTCCAGGTCATTCCTGTTTATTCTTTTGTTAGGTGCAGTACATTATTTAGCACAATGCGCTCAGGAAATAAAATCTCCTGCGACTGACTCCATACACATACTTACTATTCAAATAATCAAGAACTTGACAGGACATTTTTCAATGTGATTTCCTGGTTCTTACATGAGAGGCTGCTGGGTGGCATCCCTCACTCCCTCCCATCTCTCCACAGTTTGGGGAGGAGCCAGTCTCAGGGGACCGACAGGTGCTTTGGCAAAAGGCACGCCAAGGTAGGCCTGTACCAGCGTCTCCTTCCCCTTAACAGCCACATACTGTCCTCGTAGACTTCCTAGTTTGGTCTGGACCACAGGACCTGTTCAGATGTAAAGTGTTTTAAAGTGCCAAATTGGAAAAGCATAACAGCAAATAATATGGTATAAATACATTTGTATTTAGTTTTGGTATTCGTTTGGTTGATTACTTGTCAAAAGCAATTTAAAAGGTTTTAAGAAATGTTTGACATTGTCACTTATGGGTGTAGTTACTTTTGTTGCCAGCGGTTTAGACATCAATGGCTGTGTGTTGCGTTATTTTAAGGGGACAAATGTACACTGTTATACTAGCTAACCTAAATAGTTCAACTTTAAATTACATTGCATGCCTTACAACTGTGGGCCCAAATTCCATTCAGGCAAATTTTTATTGTGGCAAGGTCCACACAGGTCAATCTCACTTGGAACCCACTAAGGCATTGCCATAACATATATTGGCCATATAGAATATTACATTGTTTTTTCCCTTTATATTTTGTATACTTAATCTAAACTCTAACCTAACCACATATGACATGTCCAGGGCTCTCAAGTGTCACGCAATGAGCGTGACAGTCACTCATTTCAGTGTTTTGTCACGCACTCCCGCCACACATTGTATTTCTCACGCGGAAAAAAATATCTATAATATATTTAATTTGCCGCAGCGCACAACATTTCTCTGGCCGCGCAGCTCTCATTATGGAACCGGCACTAATCAAGCGCGTCTCCCCTGGAGTTCTTCAGTCTAGCCCTACAGTCAATGGTCTAGCCTGACACAGCCAATCAAAATAAAAGAAACAGGCTACACAATAGCCAATCAGAAAATAGCACAATTGTATCTGGGTAAGTTTTAACGCAACAACGAATGAAAAAGAAGCATCTCCGGGAATTGTTCACGTGATTCTGGTGCAATCTTTCGAAAGTTTTGTTCACCAACCCAGAGGAAAAACCACTGGAGCTCCGAGCATCACTTTGAGCACGTGAGTACGGTAAGTCATGATCTCCCTTTTTAATGTTACTACAAATACACCTTTTCTATGGATTGAGTTGTCTTGCTGATGAAGGATAATAGATACAATACATTGTAAAAACTATATCAGTCACAATATATTCACCCCTATGTCATCCGGTAGAACATAAGAGCATCAGAAACAGCACTAGTAGATTCAGAGACAGCTTCTATCCTGGATGCTGAACTCTACTCAACCATCTCACTCTCAAATGCCACACTTGTCACTTTTTAGAATTAATCCTTCACCTAAAATTCATCTTTTTTTATTTTACCTCGACTATTTATGTACTTTATATTTAAAAAAATCTATAAAGTTGAGATTACTTTGAGCACAACAAATTACCATGACTGATAAATATTATTTAATATGATTGTATGACAATAAACTTGAAACTGGTATAACCCAGAGAAATACTATAAGATGCCTTTATTTGACTAACTTTCTATATGTCTTCTGTCACACTGTCAGGAGAAAAACTCAATGTGGGTTTCACCACCAGAGCTACACTCAACAGGCTCCTTGAGGCTAGAGAGGTCACACCACAGAAGGCTCAACAATTCCAGCAAGTAGCACTGGCCTTCTTGGTCAAAGCTGTGGAGTATGCCATGGAGAAACTCCCATTGAAAGATTCTCTCCTGAAGCATGCACGATTTGTTGATGTGCAGCTGAGAGCTGAGTGTGGGGTTGAAGATGCCCTATACTTTGTATACAGGCAAGGGTTTTCACATTCGGATTATATATTTTTAAGTTTAATGATCATGATCACAAAACAAATCTGTCTGTCACTGTATTCTAATCAGTCTTGTACACATGTGGTCTTTTTAAGATTTCAGGAACTCCTTCCTTTTCATGACCCTAAGGAACAAGACCAAGTAAGTGAGGAGTTTATGGAGTACCAACTCATGGACATTGCCATGCCTCAGGTCCCAACACTCTTTGACGTTGAGGAGTTTTGGGGAAGAATGCCCTCAACAAAGAACAAGGTAAGAAATATTTTGCACACAACATGACTTGCTCAATATTAATTATGCCCCTGGTTCCTTTTTTTAAAGGTGACTGGGTTGAACTGATGCCGAGAGGGTATTCTCCATGGTCGGTTTGAACAAAACCTCAACTCGAAACAGCTTATCTATGGATGGGACATCATGAAAATGGCTGGGCTGGAGCCGAACTGCTTCAAATGGGAGCCAACACCACACATGATAAAGGAGTCCAAAAAGGCAACAAACATCTACAATAAACAACACCAGTCATAATCTTGCACGCGCACGCACACACACACAGAAATTGAATAAATACTTTGTATTTGGGTGAACTGTCAGTGCCATGTGTCAAATATTTTCTTCTGCAAGTCTGAGCAATTATTAACAACAAAAACACAAATAATAATATAATTTATGAAACACACCCATTCGCTCGAGGGCGGCGGGCGGGGAGCGATATGTCACTCTTGCCTGTCTTCAAAACTTGAGAGCCCTGCATGTCATTGGTTATTGCTGTTGCTTACACTCATCTACTGGCAAATTGGATCACCTACTTTTTGCTTTTAGGCTTATTCTGCTTATTTTGTATTATTTAGCAACAATGCCTATTAGACTAAATATTATTTTGAGTTATTATTTAGTTAGCAATCCAGCTAACTTACTTGGTATAATAGCACCCAAACTCATTTAGCCTTTCTGTCACGGATCCTTTAGGGTTAAGTGCAAGAAGGAGACTTATTATTATCCAGAGCGTAAATCCGTTCGTGGTGTTCATTTCAATTCAACATAAAACACGAAACACCGATACGGAAAACATACATAAAACACAGACACGTAAATGAAAGCGCGCTGACACAAAGCGACTTTAAACTTCACAAAAACACACAGTGCACGACTATACATGGACACTCAATCAATCCTATAAGCACCAACCAGGGATCTAAAATAGCCCCCTGATCAAACAAACATGCCTGTTGCTTATAGCTAAACCCAAAATAGCTGTTCTTCTAATCAACACACAATACACATACGTGCTCTCCCTATAACACCATGTGCACAACTCAGCTAACATTCGTGATACTTTCAGATATTAGTAACCAAAACTATGTAAACAAGTTCATCCTAACCGAATCAAAACTTAGACAATACTTTTAGACAACACATGCCTACAAGTAAAATATATTATAAGTAATGTGTTCACTTGTTTACAAGGCATATTAACAACATACATAACGTAACCACATATGATGTTTATTGAATTATACTTTATATATTTCCAATTGTATGATCCTGCAAAAGGATTTCAGTTTTGCCCCAAGAAACAGTTGGTTTTTAAAACATGTGCCTATAATCCAGACAACAAATCTAATCTATCTGTTTTTCGTGACGTTGACAGAATGATCAAATATCTGCATATTCCAGCCTACTTACCATTTGAATCGGCTGAAGAATACAGACATAGAAAC